GATGGTATCTTCTTAAAAAGTGAAAAGAAATCATCTCAACTGCCCTTTCCAAGTCCCCCTTTTTCTGCGCTTGTTCGCGCTCAAGTGTTGAGGACGTACCCCTGAGTGAAACACCTGGGCGAAGGGACGACGTTTAGACTTTGGTAAATGTAGTTCAGCAAGAACTGCTAAGCCCTCGTTTATGTACACTCGGGCTGTTTTCACAGCTTGCCAACGTCCGGCAATCAGCAATTTATCGAGGTTTCCGTGCCGGGAGAACCAGAAAGTGGCGCCTCCTCTACGGAGGCTGTAAGGACGGAACTGGAATGGCTCTAACGAGAGGGCAGTGAGACATGCGGAGAACAGCTGTCGCCACTTTGCATTTGCGGGGCACAAGCTTGCATGGGGTTTGTTGGAGCTCTTCCAAAGCCACAACCATTTGAGGGCTTCCCCAGTAGACAGGGTGACACTTTCGGCTGCGCCTGTTCGTTTTCCACCTTTGGTCAGGCATAAAGAAATGACTGCGGGAGTTTTGGGTCCAGTCATGTAGATGTGGGAGTTCTTGAGATGAAGGACCTCTCCTGTCCGCAACATAGCGTAATAGGCCACAAGCAAAGACACACCAAAGCTAAAATGCCCATGAAAAAAGGACCAGCCGACCATGGCGATGAGGGCCTCTTGCGGTAGAGGGGGTGCACGGTTCGGGATTTCGTTTGCGCTCCACGTACGTAGTAACCTCCAAGACAACTGTAGGTGTCCCTTCAGCTTTGGATCTCGATCCTGCAGCCCCGCGAGGGTGTCACATGCTTGGGCACGCCCTGCACCATCGGACCACATGTACTCTACATATTCTGCAAGTAATCCATCCAGGTGCTCACGTTTCCGTGGGAGAACAAGGTCATTCTTTTCCAACCAAGTGAAGAACTTGCCGGTGGCTGCATCATATCGGTTTCTCGTCTTGTCTGAGACTGTCAGGGACCTGAGGGTGCCTAAACCTTTTCGAACCTTTTGCCTGTCTTCTCGCGTTTGACCTTCCAAAACTCTCTTGCCTACTTTGCCCATTTGCGCCTAATAGGCCGCCGACTCGGACGGTCAGCGGGGTTTTGAGAAGTATGGATGTATCCCCAAAGGGGATGAAGATCAGCAGCAAGAAGATAGGCGTTCAGACGTTGTATGGTTCGTCGAAGTTTGCGACTCGAGCTTCGACCCCGAGTCAAGGCGTGCAAGCAGACCAAACTGTCGGTGAGGTGAAGGAAACGTACTCGAAGCCGGCGCCCGCGAAGAATCTTCCAGCGTACTGTGGTGAGAATCGCCCGCAACTCGAGCAAGTTGATGTGCTCTCCAGGGTGTTTCCACACCCAACCGCTAATTTCCTTCCACCTCCACAGTCGTCCCGGTATACTAGCCCTCAACCGACAGTGCCGAGGTAGGGGGTCACTTCCCGCATGAACCAAGAGGTCCTCACCCTTTTGAGTGGTCATCCCCAGGAGTCTCCGAACCAAAGCAACAGTGTCAACCCCCGGGGGAGAATGCTGCCTGCAAGGAAAAGGTGGCCTCGTGAGAACATGGAAAAAATTCTGCCCGTGGCCCGGAATAAACTGATCAACCAATGTCTGCAAACTCCACCGCCTGCATAAACCCAGGGGAATCATCAGTTGTAGGATCAGCCATGCCACAACACCTACTTGCCATGAATTCCCTAAGAGCGTCAATCTTGCATCCTCATAGGCCTGGCCCTTTTGTTCAGCCTTGACAACACAATTCTTAGTATACTCCAGAGGGAACCCCATGATAACTTCACGTTCTTGTACTCCTGGACGTCTCCACTGGCCTTTTCGGTTCCACAAACCATGTGTGTCCTTGTATTGATAAGGCGGAAACCGGTAGGAGTCAGTCGACCAGCGCTGAAGCTCATGCGCCTGACAAGAGTCTATTCCTGCGGGACGCCGACCGGGGGATGAACGAGGCCTGGAGGTCGTGAAGGTTGGCAGGTTGCACCCCAGTTGGAGTGACCAGCCCTTCTCAAGGAACGCCTTTTCATCAATTTCAGCCTTCAGCTCCACGGTGGTGAATGCCTGCCAGCCTGTCCCCGAGCCCTCCTGAAACTCCACACCTACACCTTCCAACAATTCCCAACTGACCCAGTACAAGCGGGGTCGAGAACAAAGTGCAATGCCCTTGGAGTCAATCTTGAAGGGACACCTGCCAAAGGCCTTGCTCATCAGAGCCCGGTCCTCCCCCGTCATGGAAGCCACGTTCTCGACCAAGTCATGCACCTGCGCCCAAGGGAAAGCCTGACGAAAAAGTGCACAGATCCTGGGAACGTGGACATACAACGAACTCCGTTCATCTTTGATGGCCCCCTTTCGGTCTGCGTTGAGGCCGCTGACGCCCTGGCAAGGGGGCCCAGCCCCCACCAACACAACACCCACATTGCTGTACTTCAGAGCAAGCTCAGCCACCTCACTGCTCCCAAATTCTACCACGTCCTCGAAGAAATCTGTGTCGGGGAAGTAGCTTTCCACTACCCTACGGCCCTCGGGGTCCTTTTCAATACTGACGTGGCCCGCCATAGGTAGGCCAAGGAGGTCGCAAGCCACCCTGAGTGCACCTATCCCATCAAACAGACCTACGGTCAGCACCTGAACCAAGTCATGAGGTTCCGGCACATCACCCCTCACTTCTGTGTTCAATGCAGCCATTCCATAGTCACTCAGCCCAACAGAAGAGCAAGCTCCTCCCCCCAGGGTCGACGCATCCGAACAAGTCACCACGCCGTCGACTGACGCCCGAAAGTCCATCTGACCCAAGGGGCTTAAGGCAATGAACCTCGAAAGCTCCACCTTCACCGCCCAGGGCAAAGCCAACCGAACCACGGGCGCTTCACCTTCAAACCGCTGCATGTGCACAAACACCTCGTTCAAGCCACTCAGAAGTGCCCTACGGAACATACAAATGTAGATGAACCCCCCGCACACTACCTGCAACTCCCGCAGAGTAGATTGCCCCCGTCGAATCAACTCATCTGCCAGTTTACAATAGACCTGCACCTTCTCTGGCTTGGGGATCGCGAAACCGGCCTCGCCATCTAACCATGCACCTTGCACCTCTCCTTGAAGTGACCTTTGCACTGACTTCTTGGGGTGCCTGGGCAATCCCACGCTTTCATACTGTGCTCGCACTTGCTGGACGGGGTCAGCAACCTCACCTTTGATCCTCTCAGCCAGTCCCCTCTCGGTTCGCTCAAGGAGGTCAAAATTATCTAAATAGATCCGATAGAGTGAACTAGCCGAACTCAAAGTCCTGTCTCTCCGCATCTCACATTCCCCGCCTATGCCTGCCATGGCTGACCATTTTACTACGTTCCTGTGGACGTGCTGCGCAATGGAAACACTATTGAGAAAGCCCATAGGCAGAACCTTTGCCACCAAGACGCAGTCCTTCCCCTCAAGCTGCCAAGGAAGGAGTTCAGGTGGCACCAGTTTGTTGAACCCCAAATACTTTTTCCAGTGCTCTGGCACCCCGAACAGGTAGAAGAAACAGCGAATGTCTTCACTGCTGAGGAGGGCCACCTCCCCCGCATCGAGGAGGAAGCCCGACAGTCCCGCAATGCCCGGGAGTGTCCCAATATCTCCGGCCAGAGATCGGCATAAGGAGTTCACTGGCAAAGATTCATAATCAGTCTCTGCGTTTCCAGTCCGTTTTTGAACTCACCCTTTCCCACCGAGAACATGCCGTTTAACAATGGTTTCCCTTCAACGTGACAAAGCTGATCAATAGGCAACATATCGCAGACATTCCTCTCCACCAGCCCCCGACAAAGCTCAGGCCACCCATCCTTCTCCACCATTACTCTAGGCGGCTTCACATACTTCCAGTCTTCAGGGGGTAAGAGGTAGTCTTCAAACTTTGACGCGTACTCAAGGGTCCCAAGACGACAAAACCGTTCCAGTTCGAGACACCCTACCTCAGGGGGGAAAGAGTCACAAATAGCCTGCCAATTCATAGTCATTGCCACTTTCACTTCGTCGCCCAGGTAGTCAACTGATTTTCTTTTAAAGAAATCGTCGAAACAAATATCATGTTCACCAATATTCCACATGCCATGTCTGCATAAAAGCTCGCTCAAATTTTTCAACGCCGAACGCTGGAGGTCTGAGGTCTCACGTCCAGGAGGCGGGCTGTTCCAACTTCCCAAGTGATTCACGCTGGCCACCATTGCCGCCAGCCGCAGGTCATCCTGGGGCACAGGCAAAGGCATAAGATCTCCGCCCATCGTGATAGCCTCGCCCATGTTGGAGCGCATCTTGTTCTCACATAGTATAGTGCCCAAGGCCCTGCGAAATACCTCATCGATAGAGCTCGGCGTCGAAGAAGGCAGCTCTTTGCTTCCAGCCATAGTTCCAGTGTCTTCCCGAAGAAGTCCTGTAGCCTCAGGCCGGGCTGGCTGCTGAAAAGTTTCATCATGCTTCAATTCGTGAAACTGTAGTGGTCGAGTTGCGCTAGCTTGCCCGTCCACTTCAAAAACCATGCTCCCTCGCTCACCTCCATGCTCCCTGCCACCAGGAGCCGGAGGGCGTCCAGGAGCGACATGCTTGCTCCTCTCTTCGCCCCAATCACCAGGAGGGCCCCTGCCACTGGGTCCCTCCCGTCTGCCTTTCTCCTCCTTTCCACCTTGTATCCTCCTCTTTTTGCCTGCGTCATTGAGTCCCCTGTTCACGAAGCCTTCTTCTTGCCCTCGCTCTTTCCCTTCTTTCCTTTGTCTTGCTTGCCCCCTTTCTCGCCCTTCTCGAACCTCGGTTTCCATTCGCTCCATTGGCCCTTTCCTTTGTCTTGCCCTTCTCGGCTGGTCGCCTTCTGCAGCACCTTCTGCTCCTCGTTTGCTTGTTTGCCTGCTTTCATGATCTCGGTTGCACTGCTCAGCGAAGGCCTCTCCTGTGCCACCAGCTCCAATTGCCTCAACAGCTCGGGCTTCATGCCCTTTGCATGGCCCTCCAGAGCCTTTAGGCGTTGGGCCCCCAAGTCGGCAGCTGCTGCTACTTGCCCTGTCAATAGAAGGTCCAACAGGAGTCCCCAATGATGGGACTCCCTTGCCACCGGGCCACTCATCGTAGGCATCAGCACCTGTCTCACATACTGGGTCACAATCGCGGGGACTGCGCCGTCCATGGGCTCGCCAGGTGTTCCCATCTGGTTCAGGAGGGCCTCCTTCGCTTCCGCAATCATGCTCATCGTAAGGGCGCCTGGGCATTGTTTCCATACCCTCTGCGTTGAGGTGGCGGGCTCGAACAAGTCCTTGTCGTCCACCTCGAAGCTCTCCGGGGTGGAACTCGAGCTGCTGTCGTCCTCGGATGAAGTGCCGTCCCGCTTTCGGTTCCGCGTCCGCCTGGCCACCCGACGGGCACGCTTCTTCACCCTCCGCCTGACCTCGGCTTTGGGGTCTAGTCCCGTGGTGCCACACAGCTGTTCCAGGCTCTTCTTGGCTTGGATGCGGGATGCAGCCTTCTTCTTCTTCTTCTTTTTCTTTTTTGCCTCGTCTCCCGACGAACCAGGAGACTTCTCTGCCTGTTTTGCCTTCTCTGCCAGGCCGCCCACGCCCTTTCCTCTCTGCCTCAACTCCTCTGCACTGGCTCTGAGGTCGTGGAGCTCGTCGACATCCTCTGGGCCCGCCGCCGCTGCCTCGAGATTCTGGCTCCAACCCACGCTCCCCCGATCTACCTCTCGGAGTTGAGTGCAGTGTAGATAACCGTCCTCCCATACCAGTGCAGGACAGGGATCTGGGCATAGATGAACTCGCAGCTGCTTGTTGGCCACCCCGCTCAGCATCTTCAAGAGGCTTTCCGACGGAGTGCCACTGACCTTCACGATGATCTCTCTCCCGGTGTCTTTCCGCCTGAGTTCGACCACTTTCCCAATAGCCTCGACGTCCTCCTCCCAATAGGCCCCTCGTAGGTGTGCCCATGTCCATCCCAGGAGAGTATCACTGCTCACCTCTCCCGACTTCTCCCAAACTTCTCCCCGTCGCTCGATGGCCGCTGCCGGCCTCCTCAATGCACCTGCTCTCAAACCCGCAGCTGCAGGTCTCCTCTTCGGGGGCATCACCGGCGGTAACCCCCCCCGGTACGCCCTATGCCTGTCCTCCCAGGCCTGTTGCCTCCTCCTTTCCCAATACCTCTGGTTCTTCAGGTCCTTCTTTACTCCTTTGTTCTTTTTGGGCGCTGGCCTATTCTTGTAGGCTTTGATCGGGCCAATCCACAGCTGTCCTCGGTGAGGTCGACGAGGTAGGGGCGGTGGATGATCAGGCGACTTCGGTCTCCGCGGAAGCTCTGGCCTGACCTCCCAATCCCCAGGAGGTCGTTCCTCCTCACCTGCTCCTGCACTGCCCTCTGCAAGGGTATTCGAGGAGACTCCACCGTCTCCCCCTTCAGGATAGTCTGTAGGGCTAGGGCTCCTCCTCTTCTTCTTGTCCTTCTTGTCGTAACCTCTTGAGCGGCTCCTCAATCTGGCTGGCCTTCCTTTGGCCTTTGGCTTCAACTTCAAACGGGGCTCCTCTTTGCGTTCCGATGGGGTCTCAACCTTTGTCTTTTTCTCCTTCAGGGAAATGGCCGGATTTGCACTGGGCTTTGGACTGCGGGGCAACGGTGTCCTTGGATCCTTCTCACACTCCTTTGCGACTCCCGTGGATGGCGTACCAGGAGTCTCACTTGTAGCAGTGTTGTTCTCTACACCACTCTTGTCAACCACTGTCTCCTCAACCGCAGGCTTTTCCTCCTCTCTTGTGGCAACCTCTTCCTCGTCCTTGGGGCGTCTCTTTCTCCTCTTTCTCTTCTTTGTCGCCTCCTCCTCGATCTCGGTCTTCTCCTCTTTCACCTCAGTACTGGGATCCACTGGTGGCGCAGTGGAATCCCCCTCTAGCTCCCTGTGGCCAGGAGCTCCTTCCCGCCCTTCGCGAGCGTCGCGGCGGGCAAGAGACAGACCCTTCTCAAGGATCTTTGTGTAGCTGCGCTCCAACACCTTCGCGATGTACTGGCGCAGCTCTGCACTGGTGTCCTCGTCGACCACAGTGCTAGCCACACGGCCCAAGGCTGCGCAAGCGTCACACGCACAGTCTCGGGCCCTGTGTTCCATAAGCTGAGGCCGAAACACTGCGATCAAATACGCATCCAGAGTTTCGTTTTTACCTACGAGGCGTTTATCATATTGGCATCAACTGGTCTGACAACACACAGTATTGAATCGAGAAGTCCACCCGAACAACTACAGTTATGCCACAAGCACGTCCAGTGTGCTTGCGCATTGGTTTTGCAGACCTTGGCAACAAGTAAGCAACCTACAACCTCCTTTTTATGACTTAACATTGTTCCGTGTGTTGTGAAGGAATATATAGTTTGCTGTTGTTAACCAACATGTTCGGGAATGCCTGAGACCTGCAAAGGTCTTCAATCTCTCCAATAGCTCAGGCGTCTCCCAGGGCAATGTCGGCCAGTGGAGGCTTTGCACAAAATGCAGATCAACGTTGCAGTGAGGGTTCAACCTTAGAATGGGTGGCTGCGACTTCTGCAAAGGAATCACATCAAACCTGTTTCACCAATATACAGTGAGCTTCTCTTACACAATGATCATCTATCTGCGTCCTTCCATCACCAAGCCCTCTTGCTACCTTTGGGCCCTGGCACCTGTTGTTTTAAGGTTTTTCTGCTTGAGTCTGCTTGTCAACCCTGTTCATGTGCCGCAGCGATTCTGTTTCTTCTTACCTTGCAGGCCACTTGCACAATCACATTGCTCCTATATTCGGAGCGGAGACACCTACATCCTCTTAAGGCCAACATGCCAACCAAGAGCGGGGAAGGGAATAAAGAAACACAGAAAATGTTGGGTCTTCAATGTAAGGCACCAGTCATGGTCTTCCAAATCTCTGTAGTTGTTGACCACACGCACTTGCCATTCTGCAGCCTCCTCGCCATTTCTCTGGATCAGCTGCCTTGCGAGGCCTTTGAAGAAAGACCCTCTCAACGGCACCAAGTTGGGAACCTGGATTTCTGCACGTAGGCCTTCCACCAGATCCACCGCGGTTTGAAGTCCGGGCGCCGCAAAATGTGGCACTTGGTACGGGGCTTCAGCACATGCCCAACCCAAAGACGTGCTCCTTCGTTGGTCGACGAAGTCCTCAAGGATCGACTTCAATCGATCCTGGTTCAACTTCGCAGAGGACACCACGATCACCCAGAAGCTGCCCTCACTAACGTAAACTCTCATCATCTCCTGGATCACCTTCAAGTCGTCTGTAGTCAGGCCTCGGCTCTCATTCCTTTCCCTCAACAAAAGTCATCCAGACCACCCAGCAGCAGTGAAGAGTGTCTAAATCTCCACTAAAGTGTTAATTACATACTCTTGGTTGCACCATCTATGAATGCGAAAGTGAATGCGAAAGAGTGAGTAAAACAGAATAGATTGCCGAACTCACTATTTTTTGGGGGGAGTTGCTCCAACAGCTTTCATCTAATGGCGAATCACCTCAAAGTCATTAATATGATGAGACCTTGCTCGAGTTCTCGTGCACTGCTGACAAAAATAAATGAAACGTTAGCCCCAACCAAAAACAAAGTGCTGTCCAGCACCGATCAGATTTCATCAGTGGTGCCGGCACGCACACCCGTCAGCACCGTCAGTGGAGAAGATCGAACCGTCCACGGCAGAGAGAAAAAGCCTTTAGGCATACTTGGAAGTGTTGTTGTCTTGGCTGATGCTCCTGTCCCCAACTAGCAAGGCTTTCACCCGCGTTCCATCTGTCTGACTCTGGCCTCTGTGAGGGGAAGAGTGCATCTCCTATGTTCGAAACAAGCTACCTTCTATGTCCATGCTTCTTGGTGCTTGGACGACAAAAAGGGAGGATATACTCGACAAGCCTGTCTCATATATCTACGAATATCCTCGGCATATCTCCAAGTTCTTGGCGAGCCGTCGGCAACGTGGATCCCTGGTTTCTGTCGAAGAAAAACAAAGGCTCCAAGAGGGCAACCGAGGGACAGAGTTCCTCACAGCGATCCTTCAGCTCTTTCGCAATTTCATTGGCATCATGCTCAGTCACACCCAACACTCCTCAGCTGCGGACCATGCAAAATGCAAGAGTTTCTTTCCAGGTATTGCGGAGTTTCAGTCGTTTCTCCGCAAGAAAGGGCTTGGCTAAGGCGGCTAAGGCCCATGTTTATATATATATATACAATGATTTGGCTATATAAAGGGCCTCTGACTGCGATACACGCAGGGGTCCAGGCAGCCCTGCAAAAAATCAATGACCTGCTGCGGGAAAGACTCCCTCGCTAACAAAGAAGTATTTATTCAGCTTGTCCATATGCTTTTTGACTTCCTCTTCCTGGCAAACCGGCAATTTGGCATACTTCTTGACTGTGAAGTAGGATCCCAGCCGTTGCCTGGCTTGCCGCTTGGATCAACTCAAGAATACTCTGTGTTTGGCAAAGACTCACTGGGCTTCAAACACGTCGAAAATCTGGCATATCAAATGCCAAGATACAGAATCTCCAGGATGATTCCAGAAGCAAACTTACCGGGCTGTTCCTCAGGGTTGGATGGGGATTGAAGTGCTCCTAAGACAACCTGCAGCAGCTGCCACAGTACTAGCTGGTTACAACCATTTACTGTCATTCGTCAAGATTCACCTCTCCCTTGGAAGACTTGAGAGAGGAGGGGGTGAACGAAAGGTAGCAGGCAATCACAAGCAACCCTGGTAGAAGTCCATGACGGCGTGAACCGCCGCAGGGGGGATTTGATCCAGGGGGGGGGGGCCCCCCCCCGACGAACAGAATCAACTCTTACAGGACCAAACTCAATGCACAATCCCAACTCCTGATTGTAATACATTTTTGCTAAAGCAAGGAGAACTCAGGTAGCTCAAGCTACCTTTCATGACATAAGGTTTTAAAGTCACTACTTGTAGTAACTTGCCTCTGTGTGTCCCTTTCAACTCCACCGCCTGTGGTTCACTTTCTACCATTATTAGATGCTTTTGCGAATCCCAATCCCATCCTCCAATCCCTTAAGCGCCTTGCAAATAACATGAATCACCTTGTCTGGGAGATTCAACATGCCTCTGTGAGCGTGAATGAGACCTTCAGCGTTGGTCCAATCTTCCGGTTCCCAACCAGCTGAGCAGCATGGATAACCTCCGGTACTTTCGGATGGGGCTTGATGGTCTGTCAAGGCTTCGATGGCTTCATCCAGGAAATCGCAGCTTAGAAGCTCAATTTGATCTTCAAGGGTTTTAAAGTGATCAGCACACTTGTAGAATTTATTGATGATTTTCACAGCTTTGCCTCGGACAAACAAATACTGATCATAGGAGTCCTCTTCCGTTTCCACTTGCACCTCCTCTGCCTCTTCCTGTTCCTTCTGCACTTCCCCTTCTTCTCCTTCTTCCTCATCTTCCTCTTCCTCTTCCTCTTCCTCTTCCACCTCCTCTTCCTTTGCCGACTCCTTTTCCTCTTCCATCTCTGATTCCTTCTGCTCTTCCTCTTCCTCTTCCTCACCCTCGTCCTCTTTCTCGCCGAACATCTCAATGTCAGCAAGCTGGTGCAAGCAGTCTGCTACCAGTTTGACCTGCTGGATTGCCTCAACCCAGTCGCTGTCGTAGAGGACTTTCCTCCTGGCCTGCTTCCGTACTAGCTTGGTGTTCTGAAGAGGGTTCTCAAATTTCATGTGAATCATCTGCGGAGAGCACAAATGTCCAAAGGACATCAGCTCAATGTCAGTCGCCAAGTTCCTTTTCAAGGCATCTAGAGATCCCGGGTTGCATTCCAGGTTGTAGCAAAAGGACTTGGCAAAAGTGGAGCAATCCAACATGAATTCCCCGAGCTTGCAGGCGTACAAGAAATTCCACCGCTGCCTTGTGAACGACTTCACTTCGGCATGTTCGATCGACTCCATCTTCACGGTGTACCGATGCGCTTGCCTTGTCCATGCGCTCCTAAAAGCTTCGTCCAGTGGCCGACAGGCGACGACAACACACCAAAGCTTCAGCTGTTCCTTTCCTTCGCTTGCGATGATGCCCAGCAAGGTGTCTTCCAACCACAGGCCCCGGATGGTTTCAACCAGTCCAACATGTCCTTCCTCGTCTTCTTGGAAGTCAATTTGGCTGTCCGGGACCAGGAACGTCCCTTGCAGGTTCTGCTGCCTGTCCTGGTCGCCCCGGAGACTCTCAGGTTGTGAGGCACCAGCCAGCCTGGCATAGCCATGACCAGAGTACCAAACGAAGAGCTGAGCATCTGCAGGCAAGCTTTGAATCACCTGCTCCAGTTTCTTCTTGATTTCATCACCTGGGCAATGGTCTGAGTTCATAAGGGGACTCTGAGGTCAAGTCTAGTGGAAAAAACATTGTGTCGACCCCTCAAACCCCCATGAAGCTCAATGGAGTGGTGCTATTGCTGCTCCTACGATTTACTGGACGTTCAGTCATAGCCATAGCAGCATACCCACTGACGAACTCACCCCAACTGCTCCCTTTTCCTTTTCCTTTTGGAGCTCAAAAGGAACTGGAACGGGCCAACCCAAAGTGGGTTCATGTCCTCTGTTGGCACAGTTCGTAGTGCCGCTGTGGTCACTAGGTCGTCAGCAAACAACTCACCATCCGCAAAGACCGGAGCGAGACAAATGGCCACAGAGTGGCAGTGGGTCACGACTCTCACTGGACTTGATGCCCGATGCCAGACCAATCAGGTACCCAGCGGTACCAGTATCTATACCTAGTGCACGACTTGTAACGTCTTGTAGACTCTTGATTCATAAACCCCATATGAAGAGGTGTTTCGATTCAATTGGGGGTAGGGTTTACTACTCAAGAGTCATTACATAAACATGAGCCCCCCTATCGGAAGTCATCCGAAAACGGTCCTTTGCAGCGAAGCCACCCGTCTGGTTCAGGACCATGTGCAGGTCCTGCTTTGTGGCGCAGAAGCCGCAGCGCAGCAGCGCTCGGCCCACCAGCTCGGCGTCGCGCACCGCGTGGCGTAGAGCATTTCGGCCGTGGCCGGTGTTGGCGATCAACACTGCGTGCCTCGGTCCAAAGAAGGGTCCATACGGTCCATACGCACTTGGAGACACGTGATGTGGCCTTAACGCTGACACTCCCCCAAACCAACCTTACCCCTCAGCTTCGTTTCGTTCTTTCCGCGGTCTTCGGCAAATACTATATGTTCCAATGAGTATGTTCCTCTGTGGCAAAAACTGAGTGCACTCCCCGCATTCAGTGACTGACATTCAGCGCTGGGTTGGGAAGCTGTAAGGTTCTTGGCAAGGCTGGCGGCACATGGATGTGCCTTCCCTGCAGAGAAACGCCTCGCTCCTATATCTCCGCTGGATTGCCGGCGCGAACGGGGGAGTACGCCAGTGGAGTACGGTCCTACGTCCGAGGCGACGTTTTCATGGCGGATTCTTCTTCGGGTTGTGGCGTTCACGATCTCCATCCTTTGGACCAACCCACCTTTTCGACTTGCACATCTTCGGTTCGTTCCAGTGTTCGGCGTCCGGAGTCGGATCTCTGTCCGAAGTCGATTCTGCACCGCTTCTGTTCATGCTGAACGGCACAGCCTGCACAGCTGTGGGAATGATCCGGACAAAGTGCTTCGGATGGACCAAGGGCCACGGCCGTGCCACGGCCGACGGATGCGGCTTGAGCCGCGGAAAGGGAAGTATGTCGGAAGTGCTTCGGAGCATTGGTCGGAACTGGGGAATAGTTAGTCAGCTGCAAACATGTTTGGATTCTAGATCTAGAGGAATTGAACTTAGGTACCACAATGGTTCCTGGAATGAATCCATATACAGACAGTGTTTGGGAATCCGAAGGCTTTCCGCCAGTTGTGCATGTCCCCATTTTCCAAATACCAGAAGATGGGGATGCGTCAAAAACTTACAGAGCTCCGACACACCCTGTAGCGAAGGACCTCTCAGGTAGGTCAACCCAGGTATATCCCTGGTTCTGACCCCACAGCCAATCTGAGAATCAACGTCAAAGCACGCCCGGCGGCTGCATGGTTTAGGGTCCACTGGGCCGCCAGGACTGGGCTCGTGTTCGTTCGGGCCGCGCTGCGGGCGATCGAGCCGTCCAATGGCGCAGCAAATGCATGCATAGTGTATAATGCAGGTGCATCCAATGGCCAAGTGGATGATAAAGCATCTGAAAGAGAGGATGCTATGGGACTCTTATATCTACTCTTTCTTTGCTGTGTAAGGGCTCGCTAGCCATGCATTGACGGGAAAGAGGATGCGAAGCTTTGTTGAGAACATCCAGGAGAAGCTGAAGCTGCTTGCTCTCGACGAGGTTTATTTGGTGAGCACATTGTTCACTTCCAAGTTATGATCATGCCTCGCCATATCCCCATAGGAATGCCAGTATCGGTACAGGACTTCACGTGAGAAAGAACATTTCCATACAGCGGAAGCTCAGGCCTGCGAGTGGTAGAGAGTACATGCTTTCTGTTTGAGGTTCACAGGAGTGATGTTGGCAGCTTGGCTCGCAGGGCTTGTTCGATGTTTAACGAGGGCAGCGGCTTGTTCTCTCACTTCCCGGTCAAGTGTTGAGCTCATGACAGGCTTCCCCCATGACAAATTGGGTGTCATCTTGCAGGGCACCGTCAAAAAAGACCTCACCGAAGTCATCAACCAAGATGCCATCTCGCCATGGTCCAGGGATGGTTTCGCTGCCAAGGGAGTGCGAAGCCGCTTGCATGGCGACTGATATCAAAGAACTGCTTTGCTGAAAAAGTAGAAGACTTGGTAATGACAACTGCTAACTGCTAAGCTGTCAATCTTCTTACCCTTCATGCATTTTTTCCTGTGACTCTGTCAAATGGACTTGACAGTGCTATACAGTACCCTTAGGCCAGGTCGTTGGTGCCAATGGTCCAAAAGATTTCAACCAAGAAAACATCTCTCTGCCTGGATTTGAAGCAGCGTCACCTCTGCTCCGGCAAGGGCCGGTTTTTAGGACATCACTGTGGCAGAACTGCGACCCATGCCAAGAGGATTCGATCAAATATATAAACCAATCTATCATCAAATCTATTGAATAGCTTTAGTGATGCGGAAAAGACCTGAAGATATGTGTGGCTGGGCTCCACCTGGGAACGTTCCCTTAAATGGGGCATTGATTGAGACAACAAAATCATTGCACCGGCTTAGACCCCACATAGCAACTAACTCTAAAAGCAGAAGCATCTGAGAAAAGGAGGCAGCAGCAGCAGCAGCAACAGCAGACAAAACATCACACAGGCAAACAAGTGGGGAGACGAGTGAGGAGACAAATGGGGAGACAAGGCAGCAGCGGCAGCGGTAGACCCAAAATGCCGATGCTCCACCCTGTAGCTTTCAGCTATCTGGTGAAACATGCGCTTCAATGCCCTGTCTGGCAAGCTTATCCGTTTCAAGTTCCAGTGGCATCAGCTGCAAGGCCCCTTTTTGGGCACGCCATGCTCTCATCTGTTCTTGCGCCTATGGCGCACTGAGCCGCAGCTGCCGCAGCCTGAAAACTTTACAGGCAAACCTTAAAGGCTGAATTGCCAACTTTGTACCTTAGACATCTCTCAACTGTGTGGCCTGTTGTCGTTGTCATGCTGCACATTCATTTCTTCTTGCGATGGCTCTTCAGGCATATGACATATGCCGCAAAATCAAAATCAGCCTTCAAGGAAAATATTAATTATGCATCTAAAAGCGTCGGCGTGCAGAAGATGAAGCCCAGCATCTAAAGGTGCCAGTTTCAGGCTCTGTGCGAATGCACGTGGACCTGCCCCTGACTCAAGGGTTGCCCTCTGTGTGAAGTAGACTCGCGCACGTCTCTCTGTACCGCTTTAGTCAGTGAAGAGCAACAGCTGGTTGATGGTAGAACAACTCTTTATGCAAACATTATCCAACATCCAACATCCCAACAGCGAAAGAACAACAGCCCTGTGTGAAGTAGAGTTGTGCACGTCTCTCTTTACCTTCCCGAATCGATGTCAGCGAAGAAGAACAGCTTGTTGATGGAGAGAAACTCCCTATGCAAACATCATCCAAAAATCCTTAGGTCGTCTTGCATTCCGTCTGTCCCTCGGGCAAGGCATCCACTCGATCAAGGGCTCATCCAGGTCTCTCATCTACCTGGCGTGCCGTTCCAGACGAAGAGCCCATTGGACAAGTCAGAAAACAAGAACACTTCATACCAGGATCATCCAATGGGTGTCCAATAGACTACCCCACCCTACTTACAGGTCTCCTTTGGGAACCTGTTGGAAGTGCTAGGTATATAGTTGTGCTGCTGATTGATGCTGTGTTTTGATGGCTCGTGACAGTTTGTCAATATCTACCCACTTCAATGACGGTGTCCGATTGAGTGGTTCGATCCACATGCAGATTGAATGGTAAGAGCTAGAATCTGACTCACGATCGAACCGACTGGGAAAAAGTTTGCCGTCCCACCTCTCAGTTGGAAAATAAGGACCAAGTCTCATAGAAAATGTCGGTCACTGCTGGGATCGATGGATTTGTCCTCTGCCCCTTATGATGAGATGAACCGGTGCGCTGGGATAGTCATCGTGAGAAGTCTCTGAGAAGTCTCTGAGGGCTTTGAAATCATTCTAAATCTCTATCCTGCATCCTATACCCCTTGTAAAGCAACCAAGACCAACCCCAAGCCCCAAGACCAACCGTGGTCTCTACCCGAAGCCCCAAGACCAAGCCCCCTTGCAAAATGCCCTCGGTTGCTCACCACATCGATCCATCCTTCCCGTCGGACATGACTGTTCCCACGCTCTGGTCAAGTCGAAAAATGAGCTTTGTGGAACCCATCGTGCACCAGTTCTACCCTCCGAGTCTGCCTAGAAACGAGACAGTCCCAGTGTATGTGTATTTATATATATATATATATGTCCAGAAGCTGGTGTACTCGGGAAGTGCAGGATGTTGTCAATCAACAAGACAAGTATAGTGGCTAACTGAGATCACAACACCCCGCACTCCCAGGGGCGCACCTGGCGCACCTCAACAATCACTGTCGGATTGATAGGGCCGAGTCTATCGGTAGACCTTCACAAACTCTGACAAACCGAAGTTGTGTTTTGTGCTAGCAAGGAGTTGGGGGACTCCCTGTAGCTCCTGATGGCTCCCTGTTTGGGGAATATGGATACCCCCGAACGACCCGACGACCGTCAGCTCCCTACTGAGCAACAGCATGTGTTGCTCCACAGCCAAATCGCATGTTCTCTTGTTTCACATTGGAGGCATGTTGGCATGAGCTTGCTGGTTGCCCTCATGCCCCACACAGTTTCTGTGATGCGCCAGGGATGCGCCAGCGGAGGTCGAATTGAAAGAAAATGGACGCTTGAAATACCCAGGTACAACGAACCTCAAAACTCCCACGGAACTTAACCCCAACTAATCAACAATCCGAACGGTCGAAATCTGAGGCCAGGTTTGGGTCTCTTGGCACCCAAAACAGAGCCACATCTCCTCCGAGTCACATGAGATGCCCGACCTTCAACATATCAACTGCTCTGCTCGTCTCTGACCTTGGCCTCAGCTTCTCAGGGGTCATATTGGACCAACTGAGGAGGTCAAAAATCAGTTGAGGGAAAGCCCAAATCTAAGGATTGCACGTCCTTGCCGCGAGAAGGAGCTGCAAGGGAGAGTGAAAGATCTGCACAGCAGCAGCTGAAAATCATCAAGTCTGTTCAAATCTGCAATCCAATCCGCAGCCTTCTTGTGCTGATGCTCCTGGCACCTGAACCGGAGAGCCGAGTGTCAAAAGCATCCCCAATAAGGCTGGAGAACTCACCATGCATCAGTCATCCCCTATCCTTCCATGCTCATACTTCATTAGGAGACCAGCCCCTTGGCCAACCAAGATCACTCCGGGATCATCATACCAAGCTTAAAGTACTTGAGAAGCTTTCTGGGAGCTGCACTGAAGCCTGGCTCGCAGGATCCGAAGATGCCTGGCGGAGCAAAAGTGTGGCTCACTCAATGATTAACTTGCATGCAATCATCCCTCGTTCACCTCTTCAAGAGAAAGTGGAACACAATTGAGAATGACTAAGGATATATGTGACATGTGACATGTGTCACAAACGTCCACAGCAGCCCGTTGTTGGAACGAGATGTGTTGGAACGTCCACATCAACCGAGCCATCCACCAGCAACACGACCGTATGGCTCAGCATGCAACAATTGCAGGCTCACCTTGTCATCCGGCTGCGCCTGATCTTCATTGACCTCGAATGGGCAAAACGCTGTGGCTCTGAACCTAGACTTCTTCGAGGCACCCTTGGGAGACTGTTGGAGCGGATTGAAACTAACCGTCTCTCGTGCTGGTGCAGCTGTGAGGCCAAAATGGCTTGAACGAAGTCGCCGTAGTCGATGCCAGCATCTGCAAGCATCAAATCTTCTTGCCTGGCAGGGCAAAGTGCTGAAACAGGATTCACCAAGCACGTGCCCTTCAAGTAACAACCCTTGGCTGCAAAGCTATGATGTTGCTTTTCAAAATCTCCCTTTATCCACCATCAACCTTCTCAAATCTCCAGGTCAGTCTTGGAATCTCCACGATGTACCTCAGAGGTGAACATTGTGATTTTGGCAGCAGTGTTACCGCGCCTCAAGCGTGTTCTGTGTTGAATGGTTACTGGTAAGAAATGCCACTGGCTTGTGGATTCAACTCGGCCAAAAGCCTGCGGCGCAACTCAAAACATGCAGGACGCACGGTGTCTGTCCAGAGCTCGTGAGAAGCTGCCGGATCTCAGTGCCGAGCTTAGACCTCGGCCAGGCCAGGCTTGACGACTGAGTTTTGGACTGAAACACCCACGATACAGAAGGCCAGAGCTTTACCATGAGTGCTGCACCATCACGTATACAGGATCGACTCATTAGTGGCCAACATTAACGAATGTTCAAGCTACACACAAGCTGATTCAACTAACCTTGTATTGAAGAAACCTTGTGTACACTCCGACTCACTAACATGGAAGTGGAAAACCCCCTATCCGTAAAGGAAAGTAGTCTTTCAAGGGACCATTTTCCTCTTCCATGTTAGCGAGTCAGAGTGTATAACAAATCCACGGAACCAGCGCGTACACACTTCGCTAGTTCGTCATGAAGGCACCTAAGGCTGGCACACCTGCGAAGACAAACATATGAGCCCATGCAAAGGCGGGTCACGAGGAAAACTGGTGTATTCAAGAAGAGCACCGGCAAAATGTCCACTGTCGAAAGCAAGCAGCTTGTCTGCCGAAACACAAGACTTTCTGAAGAGACAGTTCACCTTATCCACCTTCCTCGCTGACTTGTCAACCAACTCGTTGCCAAGTTGCTGGGCTTCTTCTCGCAGCTCGCGAACATTGCGACAGGGATTCGGGTCACCTCACGGTGAGCAACTCACATCTCACTTCTTGAAGGAAAAGAAACCCATCTCACCTCGTTGGGCGTTCCCAAACAGTACAGATTGGGCGGGAAGAAAAAAATCACGAGCAAACACCAAACTGCCGCAGTAGTGGGTTACAGCTTAGCGGCAAATTGTTCAACAATCTGCAAGCTTGAAACAACATGTGAGGAAAGCACACAGTCTCACTCAATCCACCGTCAGTTGAGGGGGTGCCTGTGGAAAGATTCAAGCGGATGATGCCCCGAGTCAATCCATTTGACTTGGAGCCAAGTTGCATCGGACCGTGCGACCACTCAGCAGGCCCACCTGGACCTCGGCAGTTTGCCATGGTAGAAACTACGACTTGGGTGACTCCCTAAACCTTCCCTTGATGCGGTTGGGTTGTTGAAGAAGCTTTATGGCTTAACAAACAACTTAGGCTTTGCCACAAGCTCAAAGGTATTCCAGCCCTGAAAGCAAGAATGTGTTGAAGAGATGTGCCTGACTGTGATTGTGATGGAACAACATGTATTCAGGAGTGAAGCAAGGTCGCACTGAAACTTGGCAGCGGTACTGGATTTGCTACTGGTGATCTGTCACGAAACAATAGCACAAACACCATGAAACATCCATCAACTCCTCACCAAGTCATGAGAGTTCGCCTCATATATTCTCAGACCAACCACCGCCCCTAGACTGACCCGTCTGCAGGCTTCATTTGCTTTGACGAGGCACAGGGCGCAAAACACCCATGACCTTCTCTCTTCTCTTCTTTTTGGCCACGTCCCATGGAGTTTTGCCTCAGTGCAGCGGCCACCATGAGGCACCCACGGGCAGGCACGTGAACAGTAAGAAACCTTCTTCAGTCCTGGCAGGTTCACCCAGCATCTTAAAGTTTGAACGATTCCGAATTTTTAGTGAATGCCCTGTGTTCCAAAAATGCTTAACAAAGCTGTTGCACAAACAGGATCAGAGTCACGCATAAACGATGTTTGCAAACCGTGTTCCTCAATTGATCAAAATCAGGCGCCCGGGCCATGGTTGTCCTTGGCCTCGAGATCGGCCCTGGCGTCGATGAGCCGCTGCGCCATCTCACAGTGGCCCTCACGGGCCGCCCAGTGGAGTGGCGTCCGACCTCGGAGCGGGTCAACCCGGTCACAGCGTGGGGAGCGGAGCTTTGGCTGCGGCGAGACAGAAGGGGGAGGGAAGGTTTCTAGGCATCGAGATTCTCTGGTTGATTTTGGTTCATCAACAGACGAAGATCCCAAATTCATTGCAAGAGATTACTAAGTGATTTTCGTGATCCATCTTTACTCTATCTTTCGGTCCCCAAGTTGCACGAGTCGAATTTCAACTTTGAGGCTTTGGGGCTGCTTGGAAGGACGTGACTTCCAGTCAGTTGGTGGTGTCGGAAGTCTTTATTCTCACCAAAGCAGTTGCACCAAGGAGCTTAGACACATTCCAACCCGATGAAACATGTCCGGGCTCATGTTTAACAACCTGGTGCATCTGTGCAGCTTTGCACCCCTTCTTCGACACCACAGGCCTCCTTTCCCAGGATCCCCGGCCCAAAGGGCCCTTTGCCTCGAGGTCTGCCCTGGCCTCGATGAGCCGCTGCGCCATCTCACAGTGGCCCTCACGGGCCGCCCAGTGGAGGGGCGTCCAACCTCGGGGCGGATCAATCCGGTCGGGACGCAGGGAGTGGAGCATTCGCCGCGGCGAGACAGAAGGGGAAGGGAGGGGAAGACCGCAGAAGAGGGTGAAGGTCCTAAGCTTGAAAACATTCAGAATTTCAACTGAATGCCATACAACTCACAACTGCAGCTCTCTTTGGATGCCACAACAGCGTAGGAAGCCGAGCATTGGCAGTGACGGAAAAGACAGCAGGGAATTCTGAGGCGGTGAGCTTGCTTGATTGATGTGTTTGATAGTCACAGCGTAAGGAGCGGAGCTTTGGCCGCGGCGAGACAGAAGGGAAAGGTAAGGTTTCAAGGCATCGAGATTCTGATTTGGGTTCATCAACAAACGAAGATCCCAATCCATTGCAATTACAAGTGATTTCCGTGATTCATCTGTATCTTCCAGTCCCCAAGTTGCACGAGTCGAATGTCAACTTTGAGGTGAAAGGACGTGACTTTCAGTCAGTTGGTGGTGTCTGAAGTCTTTATTCTCACCAAAGCAGTTGCACGAAGGAGCTTAGACGCATTCCGACCCGATGAAAACATGTCCGGGCTCGTGTTTAACAAACCTGCATCTGTGCAGCTTTGCACCCCTTCTTCGACACCACAGACCTCCTTTCCCAGGCTCCCCGACCAGCAAGGTCCTTGGCCTCGAGATCGGCCCTGGCGTCGATGAGCCGCTGCGCCATCTCACAGTGGCCCTCACGGGCCGCCCAGTGGAGGAGCGTCCGACCTCGGGGCGGATCAATCCGGTCGGGACGCAGGGAATGGAGCATTAGTCGCAGCAAGACAGAAGGGGAAGGGAGGTGAAGACCGCAGGTGAAGGTCCTAAGCTTGAAAGCCTTGAGAATTTCAACTGAATGCCATACAACTCACAACTGAAACAGAATCAAAATCAAACATAAACATTGCAGCTCTCTTTGCTTGCCACAACAGACCCTCTTCTTGAGGTTCTCCCAGTCCTTCCCAGGCGCCCGGACCACCATCACCCTTGGCTTCGAGATCGGCCCTGGCGTCGATGAGCCGCTGCGCCGCCTCCCAATGGCCCTTTTGGGCCGCAATGTAGAGAGGCGTCGCGCCTCGGGGCGGATCAATCCGGTCGAGGCCGCGGGGAGCGGAGCTTTAGCTGCCGAGACAGAAGGGAAAGGGAAGGTTTCAAGGCAGAGTTGATCTTGGTTCATCAACAGACGAAGATCCCAAATGCAAATATTAAAAGTGATTTCCGTGATCCATCTTAAGGTTTCGGTTCAAAAGAAGCCTTAGAGGTTTCTTCGTATACCTCCCTACTCTTTCACTTGTGCCCTTGTATCCAATCACGAGTTTGTGGCGTGAACCAACCTGGCATCGGAACCTCCGACGACGAAGATCCATTGGGCGTGCACAGATAATTGCAGCCCGACATCTTGGCCTTGAAGTGCCATTGTCAACATTGAGGCAGACTGCTGACTATTTGGAATCCCATCATACACGACCAAGGTACACCCTACCAATGTCGTGGCAATGCAGTGGCTGCCGGCAATGGAACAAGCAATCAGCCAATTTTTGCAATCAGTGTGGAGTTGGATGGGACCATCCTACTTCGTGGCATCGTGGATCATCTTATGGAGCGGAGGCATCATGGCAGCCATGGAACCAGTGGCCGCGACCCAGGTCGCCACGACGTACTCCCACACCTCGTGGGAGGGAGCGCAAGGGAAAGAACCATGCAAAAGGCATGGCAAAAGGAAAAGCCAAAGATGCAGGGAAAGGGCCAACAAGCTTAGAAAGCCAAGTCGCGCCTCCCCCGGCATACAGTCAGGCAGACTTTGTGCCGCCACCGCATGTTTGGCCTCCTGCCTATGGCCATGCTCAAGCTTCAGCCCCAGCGACAGCTCCCGCTTCTTCCCAACAAGCCAGCGACTTCAAAACGCTGATCGATGCTTTGAAGACTTGCACAGATTTTGGTCAAGCTCCGGTAGCTGTGCGAGAGATTGTGGCCAAGTACGACAAACAAAAGCACAAGCTCACCACCAAAGAGCTCCACAAGTCGGCATCAGCTCTTGGTGGGGCTCGGAAGAGGTTGGCTCAGGTCCAGGAGGGCAGGGCTCAGCACATGGAGGCTTGGAAAGACTACCTCGAAAAGTCCACCGAGCGTTTCAAAGAGAACATAGCCATCTTCAAGTCCACCATGCAGCAGCTTGCGGAAGCCGAGATGAGCTGCCTTGCCGAGATACACCAAGCCAGACAGGCTATCGAAGAGCTGATGGAGTCCGACCGCGGAGGTATGCCCAGCGAATTGTCCCCTGCAGCACTTCAGGCATACGAAGATATGAAGGCAGAGATGGAAGAAGATGCGGACGAAGAAGAAGCAGCGGATACGCCAAGGACAAAGAGCGTCAAGAGACCAGAAATTGCCTACCAGGATTTGGATGTGACAGTTGGCACAATGCAGAAGGCTCTGATGGACTGCATGGAGTTACTCAAAGAAGCACCGATGCAGAAGCGCCAAAAGACTCAAGACAACGAGTCCACGGCAGTTTTTGGATAGGCCTAAGCTGTGGTTCTCATGCTCCTGCTGGTGAAGTTGCGCAACATGAGCATGCCAGTGACGGGCCTCGACGCAATCGCAGGGTTGATTTTTCACACCATCTGGAATTAAGATTCTTCCAGCCTAACTTGCCAATTGCTACAGGGTTTGGCAATTGCCTTGATTGTTTAGTGCCTGTGAAGTTTTCTTGTAAAGATAGGATATTACAGCGCGGTCTTACCACTTGTGAAGCTTGGGTTCATCAATTTTGTCATACCATCGTCGGTGATCCCACATTCCTGAGTGTGTTTCAAGCCGGCCAAAGAGCAGTCGACCTTTCCTTCGCAGTGCACGTTGACCGTGTGCTCTGCTTTTGTGAAAGGATCCGTTTAGGCTTAGATGTCTTGAATGGAAAATCCCACTGCCCCCAAGATGGCGTGGGTAAGAAAAGGACAAAAGAGCCAATGGGCCAAGAACAAAACATACAAGAAAGTGCTGAATCCCGACCTAGGGTCGGCGAAAGCTATGTGAGCATAGCAAACGTTGGCCAGCCCCAGGCCCCCTGTAGTGATACTAGTTGGGTTGTAGTTTCAGATGCCGTTGCTGCCATGGACAGCTGCGCAGTGCCGGTTGAACCCGTTGTGGTATCTGATGATCTCAACAGTTTGAATGATGCTTGCGCTGCTATGGGTCTTGCAGAGCAGAGCCGGGGCAAGCCGGTAATCTTGGTCCTTGATCACCTGATTCCTGGTCATGACGAAGATGATTTGAGCTGCCAGAGCTACCGGAACCGTGCGCCAGTAGATGAACTGAGGGGTTCCAGCCACACTGTACAGCCACTGGCCAAGGATTTTTCCCCTCCATTTTTGTTTAGCAGAGATTCTGAGATTTGCAATGCCAACGTTGCTTGTTTTGTTGAAGATTCCTTTAATTTTGTGTCTTTGGAACACCAAAACAGACTTGTTGATATTCCTTTTCAGCCTCAGACGGGACATGCTGTTGAGAGGGCGTTCACTGTTGACATGTTGAGCCAGTCGCTTCCTGACCATGTGATTTGGCACGCAGCTACTGTCGCGGCCCTTGAAGTCACTCCACTGTGGACATGTGAGGATATTGCAAAGGTGCACTTGTTTACTGATGGGTCATTCAAACGGCAAAAGGACGGGACTGAAAGCGCCACTTGGGCTCTTGTCGCACTTGGTGAGGTGCAAGCGTTACCCGGTCGCTTACCTAGCCATGAACCCAAGCTTGTGCGCCTTGGAGTTGCTAGTGGGAACGTGAGCCTTGACCCGCGCTTTCCTTGGCCCAAGCCTAAACTCAGCGCAGCCATTGCAGAGCACATGGCCCTTTTTTTCGCGGCTCTCTTGGCTTGTAGTCTCCCGACTGGTGTTGCTGTTGAGATTTCCTTTGACTCCGAAACCGCCGGCTTCTCAGCAGCTGGCCTGGCCAATGCTGCTGCTGACAATCCGCTGGCCGGCTTTGTGCGCTCGCTTGTTTTGCATGCTCACAACCGCCGCTCATTGTGCTTGACTCATGTTCGCGCGCATAATTCGCACGCTTGGAACGAATGTGCTGACGTGTTGGCGAACGCCGTACGTCCTGACTCAAACCTGATTGCGTGGCAGCATGACCCCTCTTTGCTTGACTCTTTCGTTTTCCCTGAGGATAGTTGGCACTGGATGTGGGTTTCCTCGTTGAGAGATGGTGATTTGCCCATGTACCCCCCCGTGATCAAGCATGATTCGCGATCTTGTTTTCTTGTTGAACCCCGACAACTCTCAAGTTTGTCTGCGCCGCGGCATTTTGCTCCCATAGGCATTGCTGATGCAAGCGCGCGGCGGTCTTTTCGCGTTGTCGGGAAGTGTGTGACTTACAACGCAATGACCCTGAGGGAAGAAGGCAAGATTTGTTTAACAGCTGAGCAGTTTCACAAGTCGGGCTGTGCTGTTGTTGGCATCCAAGAGGCTCGTGGAAAGCAAACTGGCCTCTCGAGCGTTGGTGCGTACATGCGCGTTGTTTCTGCTGCTGATGACAGGCGTGTTGGAGGATGTGAACTGTGGCTCAGTAAACGGATCCCTTTTTTTCAAGATGAGGCACGCAACGTTTCCTGGGATTTCACTTCTGTTTGCATCCATGTTGCGACCCCACGCTTGTTACTAACTACGGTAAAGGCAGACACCGTTACTGTTGCGTTTGTCGTTGGGCATGCGTTGAGCAACAGTGATCACACGGATGAAGCTTGCAATGCGTGGTGGGACCAACTTGAGGAAGCGCTTGCTGAGATACATTCTGATACTCCTGTTGTTGGCTTGTTTGATGCTAACGGTCGCTTTTTCAATCGTCGCTCTCATCACGATTTGACTCACCCCGCTGATCCAAACGCACTGAGGTTGGCTGGTGTGGTCAAGTCAAAGAAG